CCCACTTCTAAGTAGAATGCCAACATCCTTGTCCTTTATTCTATTCCATTACATTTTACTCAGTTTAGTTACCAGCACTATTTATTTTTATTGGATGTTGCACACATGAACGGGATAATGCTTGGTACTGTCAATGTATATTGAAAATATATAGTTGAAAGTTGACTTTTTTAATGACTCAAATCCCCACTGCAGTATATTACTTACTGTTAGTGAAGCAAACCTGGCTATGTGTTTACAACGAAAATATTTCTAAGGGCAGTGTAGGATATAGCTGGTGGCTACGAGGTCCTCATGAGAGTCAATGGGTCAATGGTTTGGTAAGATCATGCTGAATTTTGGCCGTCGTTCTAGTGTTGATGCAAAAGTTGTGCAAAATGACTTAATGACACAGTTACTGAATAGTAGCCTAGTTAGGTGACTGGGAAGTATTAAGAAATCGCTAAAAGAGATACGAGAAATTAAACCCAGAGCGAACTTGGGGTGGATAGGTTCACTTTACATAGTTTTACACCGAATGAATTTCACTTTTAGACAGGTGCCTTGTGGGAGAAGCGGCAAGTGATCTCGAGTGCCACCTAGCCTTAAATGACATAATAATACACCATGCCAGTAGAGGACACGATAGATTAACCTTGTCGGCATCTACGAGAGGCATTGTGAGATTTTGGATTCTTTTCCACACTGTGGTGAATCATCTGATAACCATGGAGCTGGGCGAATTGTTACTACAATCACAGATGATGACTCAGCGGGGAGAAGCAATGCTTTGGTCATGTGAGCCATTTCAGTACTTTTTGCTACTAGCATTATAGGCTTCAATTTTAGCAGTAAAGGGGCAGATTTCAAAATTGTATGCAGTGTCGTGCCTTTAGGAGTACTGCACAATGAAATACAATGCAAAATTACATTCCAGTTGCCTAGAAAATGAGAACTAATGCAGTCTAGTTGATAAGATTATTAACCTGCTTCAAATTCATGCTCTTGTCTCCAATCATAGTAAAGGAAGTGTCTGGTTGAAGTTTGGGAAAGTGTTTTCGGGTGGTCAGCTATAATAAATGGAGAGTAAGTCCGAAATAAAATGCTAAAGGAAATCCTGACAGGCTACGTCTTAGGGAGCACTAATGCGTTTCTGCAAATTGAAGGTGACCGGAACAGTTCTCGAGTATTTCCAGTTCTCACTTCTTAAAATAAACTTTAAGGTAGACTTGGAATAGGGGGTTTCCCTAGGCGTTTTTGGAAAATTGATATTAAGGTGTGGCAAGTAGTTACGATGAGGAAAAATTTCATACGATTTTATCTCATAGAAAGCAGATCAGTTAGTTTTGGCTGTTTTTGTTAGCATAGCAGGGTATTCCGAGGAATCTGAATACGAAGACAATGAAAAGTATAATTGCCCTATTTTGTTTCTTACCACAATCTCTTCTGCTGCCGTAAATAAAGCAAACTGAAATAGGGAGAGAGAGCTTTACACAGTGGTATAATTTTATTGTTTCATGGTTCCCTAGTTAATTTTGATTTAGCAGTAAGTACTATAATTATCAACTAGTGCATCACAATTTCTGCGCTGTCCCCAATATTTTTATAATTCTGTAAGGATTAATTATTCAAGTAACTATTCAGATATTGGTCAACAAATCGAAGGAGAAAAACTGCTTCTCGAAAGATGAGTTAAACAAACCTTCTTTTGGTTAAGCAAGTGGCAGTCAAAAACGTCAACGTATAGGAGAGAATAAATTTTTATTGAAAAACCAGCCACTTCTTAAGCAATAATTATACATACGGTAATAGATAAATATAAAACATCTCTCCACGGTTCACTTGGGCTTTGTATCATAAACAGCAATTAGCAGTTAAGTCAGAATCAAAGATTAACTCGATGCTTGTTAGTAAAATCCTTAAAATGATGTCCCTTAGTTGTTTACTGGAAAAGAATTCTCAGGCCAAGTGAGGAACAATATCGGTTAGGAGCTTAACTCTGCACAGTAGCTTTACTTGGCAAGCATGTAGAATGAGGAGGATGTTCTTACTTGGGAAATCCCAATTACGACGTGCAAGGCAAATCTGTGCAATCACGCAACCGTTGACCTAATGTCCCGCTGTTGAGCCTCCTATCTCAAACAAAAGGCACTTTCCACAGTCACACACTGCTTTAACACCTCATGCTTCCGACTATGCTGAATATGTGAACCTCTTTCTTTGACTAACAAACTCGCTTGACGGCAACAGCGATGACAACCATTTTGAACTTGAGATGGGCTGAAAATCTTAGTCCAAATCTGTCATTACTAAAAAAGGCTGCAGCACATGCTATGAGAGCCACAAAATAATCTCTCTAATTTTTCCAATTTCTGATCCCATCCTCTCTTAAAAACCTCTGAAGGGAGGAAAACGTTACATTTAAAAAGAAATGAGCATAAAAGGAGAATGAAAATGATTATTGAGGTGATTTGTGGTCCCAAAACGGTGTAGCATATCAAATTTAAGATCTGAGCTGTGAAGGGAATGATTTACGGGAAAATTGCATCAACCGAAACGCAGTCTAAATGTTCAGACAACCTCTTGCTAATACTATATTTGGCAAGGGTGTTCACGTGGGACATTCTGAATTCCATCAGTCAGGAAAGCTCTGCCCTCTTTGGTGTTCCTCCAGATTCCAAATTAAAATAGGAGGAAGACCATAATGTATACTCCACAAGATGTTTCCCTTTCAACTTCCCACTCTAACTTTGTCCACAGAATTGGCAAGCTGTAATTATTTGACCCCACTTTTTTAAAACTTGTTGGCTCCTTGCATTACAAAGACAGCCGGTGAGATGCTAAAATCCCATCCAAACAAGGCGAATTAGGTCGCAGAGACCATTATTTGGCCTTAAGTGCCTCCTCTTATAGTTTTCTTGATTTAAAAATATGGATAAACTGTGTGGTAATAGATGTTAGGACAGTAATTAAGCTTTCCACTGGATGACACAAATTGAGAAGTAAATTCAATGAGAGTATACACTCAACTGTCAGGCATGGGTTTTAGTTTTGCGGATTTTACCAGCAAATGAATACTTGCCAGGATTGACTTTTGCTTTTACAGGAAGGCAACAAAGAAGATAGAAGGAGAAAATGAAAGAAAAGATGGTTAATGTGAATTCAGCCCTGAAGTACTAACTTTCGTTACAACTCAACATCTGCCAGTAAGCGGACACACGACTGATCCACGCAACGGCACATTACATCCTTATTTTTCAGCTCTGTTGGGGATAAGTACACCTTTTGATAATGAAGTGTATGAATAATGAAACTGAATTGCATCTGTGCGCCGTCCACGGTATATCAGAATAGATTGCCTTTTCATTCCATTGGGATCCAAATCTGAGTTTTTACCATTTCAGGTGGACATCGGAAGAAAAAAGATGATATGCTCGGTTTTATCTAGTTCTATGCATTCGATGATTCCCAAAAAGAGTATTTCTCTTAAGTCATTAATGGAAGTAATTGGCACTAAAATGGTTTATTGCCTCGAGGTGACCAATGAGAAGTCGGTAAAGACGATCACCGTAAGCCGCATCCAATTAACTTCACTAGGTGAGCCTAATGCATAGAACTGAAAAATGGGTCCCTAGATTGCCTACCATTAAAGGTGGATTTGAAACCTTTCAGTAATTTTAATACTAACATAATGTAGCATCGTGCGACTTGAGAAGAGGTGGAGCTTTTCGTTAAAGGCATTGCATCTGCTATTTAAATAGCTTGTAAAATAGGTGTATTGCTGGTATTTTTCTTTTAGTAAATGTAAGAGTAAATGTTTAAAACACTTAAGACTCTTCCATGGGAAGTGGTATTCCTTAAATAGTTAAATGCTTAGGACTATGCAAATCAACCACAAATCAGCTATGCCTGGGCGTGTGTGGATTTATTTAATAGGATTGAGGAGCTGTGCCGTCCAAGCCGGAACGATGCTATAACCGGAGGTTAAAATAAATCAAGATTAATGAATGTCCATTGGTCAGCTTGAATTCCTCTGAGTGGACACTTTCTGTGCCACAATGAATATTCGCCTAAACTCCCTGGTTTAATCTGGTTTACTGAACCGGCCACGACAGTTTTTTGGGCACTGATTCCAACAAAGCCATCTTGACTTTCTCCCGTTTCCCACATGATTTTTAGGGTAGATTTCGGCTTTCGCAAAGGACAAGTAATGAGGCTAAATAACAGTTGCATTTGCTTTTTCGTTCGGGACTCGTAAAAACTGAATAAAATTGACCATCTCAACAGGCATAGATAGCGAGGAGGGATCCCAAAGTAGTACTGTTAGGCTTTAAAGCTATCTAACGTTCCTTGCTACAAACGATCCATAAATTCTTTTAATAAAATCTTCAGTTAATGTGGAAACCAATTCATTTTTCAGTCTATTTGTTATCAGTCCACCTCCAACAAGTTCTTTCTCACTTATAATCTAGTACTATTTATTATGTGTAAATTGTACACGTATGTTAAAGACGAAAGCATGGTGAGCACCCGCTAGGAAAATCGCTTATTAAAGGTATTAGGAAGGTAAAATAGAAGATTTCTTGATCAGGTTCTTTAAGGATCGACTATGCCTTCTGACAACTGAATAGTACCTAAATCGGACGTGTACTCGTTGAGATCTGGCTAGCTGTCCATTTAATAAAGTAGCATAGGTGAATACAAGAATGCAGTTTCTTAGTAGAACGATAGTTTTACTAAAGGTTAAGTGCTCTAGGAAATACATGCAGATAATCTCTGGGAGCCATGTTTCCATTACTACTCAGCCAATCACTTGGTCCTTCATTCGTGACCAATCAGGTATATGTACGCGAACACAAGCCAACACCTAAAGGTCTTGCTAATTGTTTTCACTAATATGCACTAGAGAGCCACAGCCTCTTCTTAGTGATATTTTTTACTCTCTCCTCTTTGCGTTACATGCCATTTATTTAAAGTTGTGAGGGAAAACTAAATTCTTGGCGTCACGAAAATGCCCTATCATGACGACCATGAACCTCAGTGGCACGGTCTTAAGTAACTCACACTCAAACGAGAGCAGTTCGACCTCTAATATGGGAAGTAGGAACACCATGATGCATTCACCAGGTAAAAGAGGCAATGAGGAAGTCGACAGACGCCACACACCATCCTCCTCCATAAGCCTCGGGACCTCAAAAGCCAGTCGCAGCAACTCATACTTGTATCAACAGACTGAGACAGTGCCCCCACGGTCCTCGGGCAAGCTGTACCTCCAGCCCAAAGAGATGCCCGATTTTGGGGAAGGTACAGATCAGAAGGTCTTACCACTACCCCCCGTACGATCTACTCCCACCGACTGGTTTTCTCACTCACCCGACCGCAGCTGCTCCTCGGCGACCAACATCGATAACACCAAGGGGAACAACAATGTAAACAGTCATCCTCCATGCACACCCACCTACCATTTTGATCGGTTTTCCCCTAACTTCATGAAAGAGTCGGGTCAGGCAGACCCTCTCTCGCGAATCTTTCTTGACGCTGTGGAACGAGGCGACAAATCCACGGTTGCCCGTTGCCTTAAGTGCTCCCACCCCGTGAATGTAAATTGTACAAACATGCTTGGCAGAACCGCTATTCAGATTGCTGTGGATAATGAGAATTTTGAAATTGTGGAGCTGCTGCTCAAAGAACCAAATATTCGGATAGGAGACGCACTTCTGTACGCCGTACAAGAGGGTGTGTATCGCATTGTGGAGATGCTTATTGATCACCATTCCATTACAAAAGAAATGCTGGGGACTTCGTGGTCAAAGAAAAACAATCTTTCAGAGGAAAGCCATGATTTCTCCGCAGACATCTCTCCAGTTATTTTAGCATCAATCTGCAATCAGTTTGAGATACTCCAGCTGCTTCTATCCCGTGGCGCACGCATAGAGAGACCGCACAGATCAAACTGCAGCTGCAGTGACTGTGCGACAATGTACAAAGAGGATTCTTTAAAGTATTCTCTATGGAGAATTAACACATATCGTGCACTTGCTAGTCCAGCGTGGATTTCTCTAACATCACCAGATCCGATTCTGGCAGCATTTAAACTCTCTTGGGAGCTGAGTCATCTAGCTTCAAGGGAGAATGAGTTCAAAGAAGTGTTCCTACAACTCTCCGACCAGTGTAAGAAGTACGCTTGTGACCTTCTGGATCAATGCCGAAGCAAAGAGGAGGTTTTAGCTGTCTTAAGTCGTTCCTCGGATGATGAGGATATTGGCATATGTGATGACTTGAGCAACGACGGAGGAGAGGATGGGACGGAACATGTGGAGAAATCGGCTCTTCGACGAACCACTACAGTGATACACAGACCCTCCAGACGTTGGCATGGACGGCCTCTCTACATAGACAATTCTTTTGAACTCGGAGACTTGGAAGCCACTCGTCTGGAACCAAATAAACGTCTAGAGAGCCAGTACACGATTGTGGAGGATTTGGCGAATTTGGAAAGTCATAAAGGACAAATGTATCCTGGGAATGAGGATGGGGTAAAGAGGAAGGGGGAGGTTGTTGGAGACGCTTTTGAGACTGATTTAGACGGGATTTATGATGGAGAGGATGGAGTGGAGAATGAAAATGATTTCGAAGAGAGTGAGGTGGAGCTAGAGACCCCTCCATTGCGACTAGATCGTCTAAAATTGGCCATTAAATATGAACAAAAAAGGGTAAGTAAACTCACTTCAAAAGTAGTGAAAATCTTATTTTAGCATATTTTTAAGGTAAAGGCTTTGATATAAGGATAATTAGTTCGTATTCTCATATACTATTCCTGTTTTGCAAAAAGTTATTGGGGAGCAGTTGTTTTGAAAAGAAGGAGATATTAAAGTTCCCCGTAATGTATGCATTTGAATAGAGAGCGCCTAAAATCACAAAATGTAAGGCAGAACGACTTTTGTTGTTTACAGATATAAATTATCCTGATCAGGTTTGACAAAAATTTGACTATCAAATATTTGTGATGACAGTAATGAAGCCTGATTATGGTAAGACTCATGAATTTACAATTAAACCTTACGGTTAAAATATTTGTGAAGTCGGACATGGACATCCGCCTTTGTGTGCCCATTTAACACTCTCGACCTACCTCACTTAAAGCGAGACGCTTAGTTTAAAAGAGGCATTGTGAGTGACAAGGCAAGATGTAGCAGACAACATCAATCTATGGGATAGTTTGCAAGAGGGTCCAGACATTTGAAGGTTTACTCCATGTGCCCATGCCTCAGATTGGGAACGATGACAACAAAAATCACAACTAAATATATGTTGACGATGGTGATTTAAGCTCCTTATGAACATTTTTTTCTAAAGTACGCCAGATATTGTATGTTTGTAGATGTGCCTTTTCCAATCTTTTAATGCACTTTATTTCATCAACGCGGCAGCACAAATGCTCGAGGAGGAAGATTTAGTACCGCTAGAGTAAAAGGATTTTAAAGTTTCCAATATTTTGTCCCTCCCAAGTTTTTAATTTGCGGGTTGATATCTTAGCATCAAAGTTCACCATGAGCATGAATTTTACTACTCGTATGGGAGTTGATAACCCGCTAACTTCATTCTGACTGATACGTGTGAGCTCTTTGTTAATTCTCTCACAAGGAGTACCACACCATATTCGACTTTCGTTTGGTTATATCTCCAAAAACCAGGTTACCAAAAGGCCAAAACAACACCACATGGGTCCTCACTACAAGATATCGTTATTCGTTACAAATCCTACTAAAAAAATTAGAACATCAACACTAAACGTTAAGATGGAAACAAATCCTTTATGGAGACAAGCGAATTAGATTTTGAACCATTTTCTTTACTAGCCTATTCGTGAGACAGGTTTAGTGCAAAAAAGCCCTCCTTTGAATAAATCACGAATTTCAAATTAAGGCCATATTCAGTAGTAATTTGCTTGTCTCTGAATAGATCTAAGTGTTTTGAGGCGGTAAGCATCACACTAGCGAAATTGGAAGCGGATGAAAACGCTCTGAAAGCAAACGCAATGAGCTCAGAGATTGCCTCAAGTAATTTTGGCCGAAGTTTAAATCCGGCTTCTCAATTATGAATATTTGACAGAAACGGTAATGCAGCTTACATATGCATGAGTACATTTTTGAAAAGCTGAACCTGTTTTTGCTCTTACATCTTAATTTCCAAATTTAGCCCCTGAACAACAGAAGAGGCCTGAATTGCATGAAGTTCACTGATGTTGGAGATTTCGGTGCAAGCCTTATCAACGTAATGAAAAAGAAACCTATGTGGATTTCTAGAGTTAGCTTAGACCCGATTTTAAAACCAACGAAGACTGTAATAAATGAAGCCGTTTTATTTACCAATTTTTCCATGGCCTAATTTGTGCAGATTTCTGGTAAATACACCAGGATTTGGTGGAAGCTTTTAGAAGTTTCATTTGGGAAGGCTAGAAACATTCATCCATAGCCGGATAGAGGAAGTATATTTACCTTATCACTTGCCCCCCAACAGCATAAAATTTGGGAATATTTTTTGATTGACGAAGGCTAAAAGTATGTTAATCTATATTGAAGTGTATGGGAAGTATGTTGAGGGGATGAGAAAGCTTTTAGAGAGTAAAAGTCACATTTATTTTTCATGGATGCAAAGTGGTAAGAATAAAATATCCAGAATGCAGTGTAATTTAATAGTTTTAAACGGTCCTTTAAAATTTGTGTTGGGTTTTATTTTCACTTAACGAAATATAGGTTATTTTACAGGAAGGGTAAAGTAGATAGCTCCGCGGAAGAGAGTAGCGCCTAAAAGGTTTAAAATTTGTGCCAAATTTTCCGTACTGTCACAATTGACGTTTACACACAACAGCGGACCCTATTAATAGAAAGCATGTGTTGAATTTGGTCAGTCTGAAGTGCAAATGCAGCTCACCGAGACTTCCCTGAAGACATCAGAAGACAATTCTTGAGTAGAATATGTATCGTCGACCTAGAGAAAGGCTGACAGGCTGTTAATATTACCGGGTTGCTCAGCAGCGGTTCAGTGGCAGATCATCTTAACGGCCTGTTATTTAAATCGACAGTTAAACAGCAAACGTATTACACAAAGCAAAAATTCTTTTCGGGATCCACACTGATCACGGTTTGCATTCAGTTCTCGCCTTCATTGTCGGTTATTTTTTAATCAAGAAGAAAATGCAGAAAGTCATGAGAACTTGATAACAATTTGCTAGATGCGTAAGGAACGATATAAATCGAGTCTTACTTGTGATGTGCAAATTGCATTAATACGTATAACTCGACCATGGGTTATTCGAATGCCGTTATTTATAACAAAGTTAAACTAACGCCCCTGAATGCATGACACTGGATAGTCGTAGGTGTATCACAAGTACAGTTCGGCGTAAAACTTAAGAGTATCCTCCATCATGGTTCCATCCATTTGTGACAAGAAAGACGCATGTGGAGACTTCCAAATAAAGCAAAAAAATAAAAGTGGTAATACTGAAAAAGGATGGAACATTCCAAAATGTGTGAATACATGAGTCATATAACATGCCATGAAGTGGAACAATAAAACGGCATTTGACGGCTCTATCACATTTGATTCGAATTCCTATAGTGAGGAAAGAGATCAATTTCCTCGCAACTTGGTGGTCTAATAGGTTGGTGATTCTCTTTCTTTTGTAAAAATTTGACATTCAAAGAATGGCAATGGTTTATTTCCCGGATTTCACTATGCAGCAGTGTGATGGTTTGTAAAAGAGAGAAAAGTTAAACAAACCACTGATTTGCATGAGTTAAATAAGAGTTACATTAGCAAAATCTGTGGATTTTATGATATGAGCAATATCAGTTGTAGCGCATTTCTTTCATCCAATGCAACTTCTACCTGGTGATGGGAGGCTAATTTTTACATAAATATGCAAGCAACAAAGGTGATCCCGTAAGAAGTTTAAAATAAATGTTGACATGGATTGCTCATGGGCGTACCCATTAAAAAGTCCATGTCTATGCTAATTTAGAAAGTATAAGAATCTCTGATACTTAGGATCTCTCCATCATGCTTCTAGTTTTTAGGTTACGCACACCTTATTCAACACTAAAATATCATTCTCTTCAAAACGATAAGAGGCATGACATGCCCGCTTTTCGGTAAGTATATATACAGTGAGTGACAGTCGAGTTTACTTCATCATACTTGATATGAAATTCCAAAAAAAGGTAGGCAACCATAGACCAAACTGCCTTTTGTGAGATGTTTAAAAAGTAGATGCCTCCTCAACTGACTGCCCAGATTGGGAGGCAAATACAGCATGTCCAGCTGGTACTATGGCAACCTCGGTAACACCTTTTCGAGCCTTACTTGCTGAGCGGGGAGTGTAAACCAAAATAATTCTAAGTGATGATAAATCCTGGCCAAGCTCAAAACGTTACCTTTTTGGACTGCAACTGTCCCTCTACCAAAGGTTAAGCAATATGGAAAATCAAATAAAATGACGTTTTAATTAAAGATGCGGTTAAACTTTGCAAAGTGAATTAATTGTAGAACAAAACATAGAAGGTGTATGTTATCGTAAATCTGTTTTGTTTTATTTTCAAATAGAAAAAAATCAGTACAGAGACGACATATTTTGCGTTTATAAGTTCTTTTCCTTATTTCCATGTGGTATTTAAATTAATTAAAAGGTTCTTTGACGCTTTAAAACCAAAACCAATTCTAATGCTTTCTGAATGACCGATAGATTAATTTTATTCCATGGAAATATCCTGCTAACATTGCTGACGAAACTAATGGATACTTCGGCGACCCTAATGCCATTTCTTATTCGCTGAGGACCGTCATCGCATTAATGGTTACCGACGCTCCGGCCAGTAGCATCCACAAAAAGAAGTAGGGAAAAGGAAAAAATTCTGATTCCATACCGTAAAGTTAAAATAAATATGTGATGTGCAATAATATGGTTTACAAACTGTAAAGTTACTTATTTAAAATATCGAATTATTTATTCCGATTGAAAATTCTAACCTCCTCTTGACTGCATTGGTTGCATCACAAACCAACTTTTGTGCTTGGAACTTTGGGTGGTATCCATTTTGCTTAATGATTTCTAATTTGAAGATAAAATGGAAAATTTTGCCAAGTATCCATTATTATAAGTTTTTTAATGAAAATATTTAGAGCAGAATAAGAGCACGATAGAATTCGATAGAGGTAGATAATAAGGGATTTTAAAAAAGATGTTACTAAAGGGTGCAAAAAAGTGTTGAATTGGTGTTGCATGCTCGGAGTAACTTTGTATTGCATTCTTAATGCTATCAGTGGATGTTCTATTGCACTGAGAACACCTTTTAAGGGTAGAAAATCTATGAGGCTGCTTTTTTTCCTTTGACTGAAAAGGCATTTTTTCTGAAGTCGAGCAACTACGGTCTTTCTGGAAAAGCAAACGAAGAGGCCTTTAAGCATTACTGGTTAGATGAATTGCCATGTCTCAACTGCTGCTAGGCGCCACTCATACCACTTTTCCCTCATTTATTTTATTTGTCTTTATGCATACAGGGCCACAATTTATGCACCCAAAGCATTGATTTCTGAGCAATGTTGGCAAAATTAATTCCGCCATCAGTGAAAGTAAATGTGAACATGTAACGCCTCCTTTTATTTACTTCATTGATGCAGCATGTATGTGCATTTTGTGATTTGTCAAAAAACGTTCGTTGCATTATTTTTCCCATTACGTAGAACTGATACGTTTGCAAACCCACGATTTTATGTTAGGATAGACTTTTCAGCTCCATATAGCACACTGGCAACAGGATCGCAATCACATTTACAATGGAGTGAATTTGGTTTTTTGTGTATACAGTTTGGTACCTGATTATGCTCCTTAATATACTGCCAATGCTTGGTCTACTTGAAACAAGCTGGGCTTGGAAGCAAATCTTTTTCTACTATATCGTCCAATTGGGATTTACACTGATTTGAACCACAAGCCCTAACTTGGAACATCTCTGTATTCAACCCCCCTGACTTACAGGAAAGTAACTTAATTACTGCCGTCTGTTTTCAGAAACCCTCTAAATCAAACGTATAGCTGAGTAAAGAAGAAAATATGAATTGTTTTAACATCGGGATATGCATTCTTTAGCCTTCTAATTTAACTTATAGGCAAGTGTATTGGTTTTAGGCAAACAAATTTTTAGAATAATAACAATGTTATTAGTTTCAAGATTTTCAAGGGTAATGAAAAGAAACCAGCTTGATCATCATTTGATTCACTAAATGAGAGACAGTGCTCAAAAAGCAAAATAAGCAGTGCCCAACAAACTTTTGGTCTAGTTTGTGGCGCATCCCCACTGCCAGCACATCCTGACGACCTTGTGGTACGACCAGCTTCCGGGATGGCGAAAGCACCATCCAATATTCAAACTACTACTATGCGTGGGTTTCGTGATGGCACTGCCTTTTCTCGCCCTCGTCTACCTCGTCTACCCACGTGGCTCGGTGGCGCGCATTCTGCGCTCACCTCTCATCAAGTTTGTGAATCACAGCGCCTCCATCGCTATCTTTCTCATCCTCCTCCTCATCGCTTCCACCGATGGCCAGTCTGTTAAGGCCCTCGAGTCGCGTCAAATGACTCGCGGACCAGATCCTAACCGCATCGAACTTCTCATTGCTTGGTGGGTCTTCGGTAAGTTCGCTGTACTCCTTATCTCCCATTCTCCTCACTTCAATCCTGCTTTATCGAAAGCTTTAAAGTCCCCTACCCGTAGTACCCTAGCTACTCTCAGATACATTGTTGAGTCTGATGATTTGCATATGTGGTTACAGTAGTGGTTATCAAAATTGCCCATTCTAACGGACTTTTCTTCACTCAATGTGTTTTTAATAAGTTGGCTTCCTCCGTTAGTCTCACTTCTGTTTCATTTGACCTCTGTTTGTATTTACGTTATCGTGGCCGACTTTTTTGAATTTTTAGTATACATGACCAAATTAAAATTTCATCAATCATGTCCTAATTCTCCTCCTTTGTAGTGTCGTTAGCGCTTTCACTTGCTTCATTGCAAATCTCCTCATCAGGGCACAGAAGAAGCTCTTTAAATAGTTTTTGGGAGAATAGTGGCTCTAGCAATATATTTTTAAATCTCACTGATTTTGCAAAATTACTCTGACGAGTCCACTACTGCCCTCTACTTCGGTGTTACTTGTTTGAACGGTCTGAAGGCTCTTTAATACCTAGCTCAGGGGGTACCAATGAACGAGTAGTTAATAATAATGGCGATATTACTTTCACTTAAAGTATTATAACATTCCATTAACCAATTCAAGTACCATAAGTTATTTTCTCAATGTATCTCATTCTTACGCTACCAAACACTTTAGAGCTCTTAAACTGCAGTCGTGGTGTCATTTCTAAGTGTGCTGGTTAGATTACACAGTTATTTTAGATCAACATTTCTTACAGGTTTATCGGCCTTTTAAAACTTGCTGCGCTTTGGCGAGTTCAATGAGTCTGGTGCCGACCCTCAGAATTTTTTTGTGTCTAAAGCCTCAAAAACTGCTTTGTTCCAATTTACAATCTGGATCACAGGTGTTTCTGATAAAGGCACCACTTTAATCAACGCAGTTTCTAATTCCTTTATCTGCAGTCTGCCTGATGGATATCTAGTGAACCCTCTTTTTCCCTTATCTGGCGCTTTAAATACCTTTCCGAAGGCCGTTCTTGAGTTATTTTAGGTAGGGTAAGTGAATAAAATAAAGACATCGGATTTAAGCAATTCGCTTTAAAGTTTTACATGATTCAAGGTCTGTATAGTACTTGGCGAATCAAGCGTCCCTGCACTTTATTCTTTCTTGCAAGTCTCTTAAAGCCGTAGCACCTTAGTTAATGTTAAATGTCGAGTCAAGCTACCTAGATTCTAGTGGACGTTCGATAAGTCAGTCCCTCTGTCCCTATTCCTGCGATTGCCATCTTTCTGCATACGTGAATACGATGAAAGGAATAAATTCAATCAGGAGGGTTTACAGCTTTTTGAGTCTCTCATAGTTTACTAGTGTTCTCCGGGTCAGCTGTTCCTCAACCTCACTTTAATTCATTGCCTTCCAGTGTTTCGGTAACTCCTCAAACATCAAAGTACAAGAGCATGATAGTAAAAACATATTATCTTTACCTGATACCACATGAGACTTTGTATGTCCTCTCAAACTATCTCACACACTACACATCGGAGCAGATAAATTGGTGTGTAAGGTGAAGTAGCATATGAAGCAGTCTAATAAACTAGAAACCAAAATAAAGTAACAGCTTAACTCGGCTGGCACTCATTTAACTGTTGGAAGATCGTCGAGGCTGCTGCTTTCTTTTACAGGATGCAATCATATTTTTAAGCAACTTCACTCGTGTTTATTGTAAATATTTCCGAAAACTCAATCCGGCTTAAGTATTCATAAGAATGCAAATACCTAAAATCAAACGTATTGTAGTATTAGGGTGTTTCAAACAAGAAAAAAGAATTTTAATAAGCAACCGACAAGCTATATGCTGTATTTTATCCCTACTATTACTCAGCCTTTCTCTATGCTGCACTTCTCCGTCGACCATAATGGGAGTGGTTGTATACAGTACAGCATACTTAAATGTATTTGCCCTATAATCCCTAAAATTTCGAGATATCAACCCTAAAACGTAGGCAAGTGATATGATTCCTCTATTCTGCTAACAATCTTAAAATTACAAAGTTCAAGATCGTTGGATTGTGCCTAAAGCCCTGTTTAAGAAGTTTGAACATTGAATACCCCGAGGAGCGAGCCAAATTACATAAACCAGATGCAAGTCAATCTCGGTCTTAGTCATATTTCTAGTGGTTTCACTTGATCACAGGAGCAAATGAATACTAAAAGGCGATTATCATTCATAGCCAGGGACAACATGACAAATTTCCAACCTGAAAAAGGGATTCCTAGCCCCAATAACAAGAGTTTTTCTGGCACATTGGATGCAATTTTTTTATTACTTCCACACTTTGAGGAGAATAGGTTCAGTCTGAACGGTGATTAAGCTCAGCATGACTATCACGTTCCCTTGAAGTATTTGTAAATTATTGGATCAGTATTGAGTTGAAGCAAAAGGTTCAAGGCTCTCTTTCTTGTCACAAATCCCTTCTTTCCATTTGCCTTTGTTGCAATGTAAATACTTCTTTCTCGGTTGCATTATTAGGCTCTTCCAACGCGAATAGACAGCTCTTACGATGTTGCCAGATGTTGACAAGTTTACGTAAACAGCGTGGTTACATATATCTTCGTTCCATTAGGTCAGTACTTCATTGGTGGGGATGCAGGTAAAGCGCAAAAGTTGGCATCACGAGCCAGTGTCAGTATTCCCACACAATTCTTTTAATACTTAGGTTACCATAGTGGACGTTCTTCTTTTCATATTCGTAAGTCATCTGGCCCACCCTGATAGGGTTCTTCGAGGCTCCAGTGTACTCCTCTGTCGAATGTTTTGGGAGCCATTTTTTGCAAGAGGATTAAGCAGAATGGATTGTTCAAGTATTTTTAAACGTAAAAGTTCCTGAGCGTTTTTGTCACGACAATGAAAAATAGTTAGCTCCATAACATAGGATCACCTTGATGCAGTGTTCAAAATAAATCATTTATTAACAATAAATATGACTGCAGAGTAAGTTCACAACTAATAAGATTTTTTAAGAATTTTTTAGACAAGGAGTGTGGTGGGAAACATTTTTCAATCTGCGTCGCTCTTTGCTCTCCTATTTATGGGTTTAAATACCAGAATTTTATATGTTAGGTTAGATTTTGCTTCTATGTAGCGTATTTTTTGCAATTTTTCGAACTTAAAGTGTTTGTGCAGAAGAGTGATATAGACTTGCAAAGAGAGTTCGTGCATTATGTAATTGAACGGTAGGATGGAAAAGTGTCGAAGGGCCATCGACCGAGAAAACTTGGTTTAAATGACCATCCAGCTTTTGGAATAATAACAACAATGTTTGCGCAATTAATATAGAACTGAACAAGTGAATTAAATCAACAATAGCGACCACTTTTGTTGTCTATCCAATATGGGGAGAGTAGTAGTTTGTGATCTAAGCGGAATTTAATAAGCGACAACCATCCAAAAATATGATTCAAAGTTCCATTTTAGCATTTATGATTGGCATATTTAAAGGGTTTCAATTCCACAAACGTCTTTGGAAAATAATAGGGCTCGTCGTACAAGCTTTATACAGGAAAGGTTTCAATAGTTTAAGGGAAACAACTACAGTGAGAGGTGTAAGAAGACGATGCGTCGCAATCAGATTGCTGTCTATAGAGTCAAGGAAACTTCAATACAAATTTTTCTGCTTGTAATGGGGCGTCGCAAAAGAAAACAATTGGATTAAATGGTAGACAGAAGACATGGGTGCTAAAATTCATTGTTAAACGCTATGCAAAATGTTACTCCACTCTCTGGAGTAAGGCCCCGGTCATTATTATATTTTGAATGTACAAAAAATTATCATTTGAAACGAGTTAAAATGACGCATAAATAAGTAAATAAAACAAAAGTTATAAACCACATCTCATTTAGTGATATTATGTCAAAACAACATAATCACAACTGCTAATCCTAAAGTTGTTGATGGATAGGTTTTCAGCATTTTTCAGAATTCCTTTTAATCTTTGTGTTGTAAAATGTAATATGCTTAAAAGCAACAATAATGAAGGATAAAAGAGGTTGCAAAGCCTTAGCGATTCTAACTTAAGTCCTAACTACCAAGTCTGTATGAAATTTTGCTGATCAACGATCTTGAGCTCTATGAAATATTCTAAATTGCAACGTAGCTTTACCTGCCTTATTGCTCCCTCTCCATAATCGTGTCCTTCTTGAGCTATCCGTACGATGATCAGTGCTTTAAGTGACACAGAGTTGAAGGGTCGCTGTCAAATGGGAATGATTTTTGAAGAGAAATTAAAAATTACTAAAGTAAAGAGCTCTGAGCTCTGAAATTCGCATAAGTTTAGAGTGTCATTGTTGTCTGACAGATTTTAATTCAGGAGATAAAAGCAAGTAAAGCCTTAAATTTAGAGATATCGGAAATGGACTGTTGATTTATGACAAAATAAAAAGCCTTTGTCTTTAATTACAAACAATATTGCGGCGTGAAAAGTGAAGAAATATTTGTTGGAAGTGTGTAGCAGTTTGGAGAGTGCACAAGTGGCAAGTTAGAAATACCCCTGAGTAGCAGTTTTAGGCATACCCCTAGCGCTGCAAACGAATGTTCAAAAAGGGAAAAATAGATGTCTTAAAATCATTTGCATTTTCAGGAAATGATTAGAATGATAAGTAGACACACGCTGAGGCGAGTGTTTGCGGTAAATAGTCTAATGGTAAAGCATGAATTCGTTCTAAGGTAGCAACAAATTTTCTTCTGTCGCAATTGGCGTCTATAAGTTTCATTTACGGCGGTGAAAGCGGTGCTTGGACATGCATGCTGAATTTTACGCAATGCTTAAAGCTGCTTCCTTGAGGAACCATGTTTTTCTCACTTTCTCTCCTAAACGCTAAAATTCTTAATAAAACTGTTTTGCAGTCTCATTCCTATAAATCGGATTTATGAGATTTAGACAAATATTTGTCAATAGATATAACTCTTCCAAAAGGCAAAAGACGCTGGTACAGGCGGGCCATCTGAATAATTCCTCACATAAACATCAGACTGTTCGCCCATTACAAATATCAACGTCACTTTCGTGCCATAAGCTTAGTGCAATTGCTTACTAGATCAATTTATTGGGTATTTTCACAGTGTTTTGAAACTTTCTTCCTGTTAATGACTTGATGTGCCTAATATCCTTATTTTTAAAGCTTCCAACAGGCAAAGCACTAACAATTTCATGCCAGCAATGTTTACTTTTTGAATGTGAAAAATGACGGAATGACGGTAAATACTAGAATCCCAATTAAATATTAAATTTTTTAGCCACTCAATCATGTCACAATTTCGCTGATTTACAAAAAGTGTCACCAATTACAAAGATAGACCTACAGTTTAAACGCTTTTCCCCTTTAATATAAGAACGTTGAATATTGACAATCCCTATGACAGATAGACTGACTAATCTAAGGTTTAGTAACGTCACTCTAAAGCTAATTTGAATGCGCATGCTAAGTAAAGAATAATCATTGACTATTTTATGATTAGGACATTGTAAAGCTTAAAAGAATTCTGCCTATCAATATTTAGATGCTCCATCCTACCCTCTGTCTTACAATAAAATCTATTAATCAGTCACGAGCATTTTACGGCCAAAAAGGTTTCGTGTGGAGCGAGATGAAGCAGATCTGGGAAGAAGGCTTCAAGGCGTATGTGCGCCAGTGGTGGAATTGGCTGGATTTCATAATGCTCACCCTCTTCCTCACCACTGTGGGTCTGCGCGTTGTGGGCCTGATTCTGCGCAAGACCCAGCGTTATGGCTTCGACCTCGCGGGTCGCGAGGATTGGCCTCCCGACGACCCCACACTTGTCTCGGAGGCCTTCTTCGCTATTGCCCACATCTTCTCCTTTGCTCGAATCATCTTTCTCTTCCAGGTAAAATAATAAATCTTCCTTATGCGTAAACTTTGTACTAATGCTGTACCACTAGCTTACTGATCACTAATTGGAAATCATTTTGGTGTGGAAAATTTGGTATCATAACTGATTCGTTTAAACCACTCAAGAGGACGCTCCGTCTTTAAAGTTATAGCAATGGGATCCGTTTCTTTACATTGCATTTACTTTGTTTGTGCAGCAGGGAATGATTAAAAAGTTGCTACATAGACTTTTATATGATAAGTGACTTTATCAATTTGAAGGCCACTATGTAGGCCTACAAGCCAGAAATCCTACAGCAAATATCTGCTTATACGTTGGAATTCTAATAGCAGCACAGAGCTCACACACTTGAAGTAATGGCTTCCAAAAAATTCATTTTGTCACCTATTTATCATTTGATACTTATTCCTCCTCTATCTACTGCGCAGTTCGAGTTGTCCAAAGACTTTTTGTAAAGGTAAAGTAATTACAAGGGCTTTATCAATCAGGTACTATCATTTTAGAAATTAACGTTTGTTGACACTTCTTCACAAGTGTACCACTTCACAGAAAGAGCATTTCGTGACTTTTCGACTTATGATTAAAACCCTTAAGGAACGAAGCTCTCGGTTTCCTCCTAAAAAGGACATATGAAGAAATTAGTTAAAATCACGTTCTTCTAAGCTCCTATCACCAATCTACTAATGACAAGAAATATAAGAATGCCTTAATTCCTTCAAAAAGTGTCTGATATGTGGCAAACAGTCTGTTTATGGTTTATACACAGTTATTTTTGTAGTAAAAGTCACTGTTTTATTTGAACAACAAGGCTGTGCACAAATAAACCTGAATATGGTACGTACCGTAAAAACCTTCTTTAAACTCTGTAGGCACAAACAGAAAATTTTAGCTAACTTCTGAAGCTTATAAATCATCAATTTATCTTCACGTAAAAAGAGTGCACATGACTGATTCGGTGAAAAAACAGACGGCAGAATTGTAAAATATTTTTACAGGTAAACGAACACCTAGGACCCCTTCAAATCTCGTTGGGGAACATGCTAATTGACATTACGAAATTCCTCTTCATATTCCTTCTTGTGATAACTTCCTTTGCCTGCGGACTGCATCAATTGTATTACTACTACTTCTCCGCGGATAATGATATGCGACCGGCTGCGTTCTCTTCGTAAGTCACTTCCAGCTTTCTTTATCTCTGCCATGTTCTTTATTAAATTACGTTTTAATTTTAAAGATAAAACTAATTAAAAGATCCGTTATTTTGACTGCTTCACTACCCCTTCCCTATTAATCTCCTGCGAGTAAATGGTAGTTTTATTATTAGTACTTATGGTATAGCTGTAAAGGGTTGTATTAGAATAAATGACTAGAGATAATAAAGAAAATTGTGTCAAAAGTCAACTTATGTTAATATGGGTGCAAAATTCATTCATAGTATATTCTGTGAAATCTTGCTCTTATTTGACTTTATTTTCAAAGTAAACTCGAAATTTCTTCTCTACGCTAGGAATTTACGCAAGATTGAAGCACATGTGTTATCAAAAAAGAGCAGCTGTAGTAAGAAATAGTTTTTTGGGCAAAATTACCAAAAAATGTTTTGAAATGTCTTGGAAAGTGCTACAAGCCCCAAAGAACAGGTGAACTCCAATTGTCACCATTGTGAGTAAACAAAAACTTGCAGAAGACCATAAGTGCTTATAGGTAAGTGGAATGAAATCCTGATTAGAAAATTATTTTGCAAAAATGCATTGACCGATAAATATGATTTGATGAGAACAATAAATATACAGCTAGCTGAAGTTTGGGAAATACGCTTGCCCTTTTATTGCCCTTAGGCTATTCCTCCATAACTTCTCGCTACCCCATTAAGCTACTTTATGATAGGCCTCCTCCATGGGAAACGCCTGCATAAATTGCTCCGGTTTGGCTTCAAAAGCCAACATTATGATGATAAGACCAACATTTTCTAGGGTAGGCAATTACACAAGTGGGCGTTTTTGTTACAGTGCATTGACAACACATGGTAGAACTTGTTAAAAGTCGGTTCCAAGGAACAAGCGCTTTCATTAGAGCACGACTGGGAGAAGTAATTGTTGCTAGAAATCTTTAGTTATGGAAGTCTCAAGAAAACGGAAGTACAGATGTGAATGCTAACGTCATGGATTAAAGCTGGAACCTGTGGACTCAGACGGCTGGAAGGAAGATACAACTTTCTTCGCCACCGCCGAGGCAAGTTAGACCAAAGACGAAAATTGACGGATCAAATTAAGCTTCCTTCCATAAACACACAAACTATCCGTTTGTATTGTCAAATCCCACCTCCAAAAGCGCATTGTGAGTTGGGTGGATTTCGCCTGGTATATCTGGTACCTAGCAAATCAGATCGCTTTTGAATATCATCCATCAAACCACCCAGTCATTAGAAAGTTTGTGTCTATCGAGAAATTACAAATAAGGTCTGGAAGTAACATGTTGGTTACCGCCAGTATTAACAAAATTTGATGATTGGTTTTTGAATGGTAACTTGTTGGTTTAAGGTGCAGTTTTTCGGGTTGCTTTTGAAAGTTTTGTCAAGCTGACGCAATGACGCTGCTAGAGGCTTTTAAATCTTCTTATCACTCAAAAAATTGAAAGAACACACTTATTTAGGCCACAGCTGAAGGAATCCTTATGTATGCCACAATTTTCCATTGTGAAACAAGACTGTGAAGTCGATTAACACACTCTAGATATGCAGTTTCCATTATTAAACATAAAATTACATCTACGCTAGGATTTTGACAATTTCTAGAAAATTATCACCTGCAGTATGCCGTTGGATGAACTAACTTGGATAAAACAAAATCAATTTGAAAGAGTTTGACGGCCAAGAATTACGTGGGGTATTGATTGTTTACCCTTATTTCTACCTTAGAGACTTCAATTAGAGACTGAGCAACAAATTTATATAGTTATGTCCAACATAATGACCAAATTTTCTACCCCAGTAAGATTAGAAATTCCGCTTCATTGCATACCCTTTCAATCGACCGGAAAATAAATAGTCATTTGAAATTTTTCCTTTTTTATCAACAGCCTTCTGCGATCCTATCAAGCTCTCTTTTGGCATCTTTTTGGTGTGACGCAGATAAATCAGTACCGCCTTCAGACAAAGGATGCCGAGGGCAAAGTGGTCGACTTGAAATCGGCCCAGGTGACAGTGACTGTGGGCGAGATACTCCTGATGATCTATCACGCCATGGCCATAATTGTACTCGTTAATATGCTCATCGCAATGATGTCTAACTCCTTCCAGACCATTCAGGCAAGCTATCTTTTTAACCAATGACTTATCTAATCGCCAACTAATGATAAATGGTGTCGAGCAGTCCAGACTTTCGGTGCCAGTGGAGTCGGCGATAAAATCGGCTCGTACACGCACTACTGACCTGGCCACAAAATACCAGAAATTGCATTTCGTCTCTTCTTGACCCGGCTCCGGACATCATGTCTGAAATAGCAGTTTTTTTTATAATTTAGACTAAGTCATCAAAATTTTATTCGTAGAAGGGCGATCATGCAGTCGTCGGCTAGCAAATCACGATTTTTATCCATTCACACGCTTACTGACTCCCCTGTTGCAAAAGAGCTTACCGATAAGACTAACCGAGGTAATTTTATGACTATTTTTTTGTCCTTTAACTAATCGCTAAATCATTAGCTATTTTCTGTTATTCAATAAGACTACTGCTTTGTAAATCAAATAATGTAAAACGCTGCAAAATATAGGCAACCATTTCAATACCAACCAATTTTCAGATCAAGCGAATGGGAAAAATCCAACTAAGTTCAAAATTGTTTGATACCACTAAAAATTGATATGTTTCAGGTTTTCTTGAACCAAAATTGAGATGGGACTGGTGATCAGTTGATCTTTTCAAATCTATCAAAAATCAGCGAGAGGAAATGACACTTTATATATTTAAAAAACCACTATTAACATAATGCCTTGTTTGGAAGTGATCGTAACGCACGAAGATCCGTAAAAATATTCCAGCAACTTTACAAGAAAAGAAAATTTTCGTATAAATAAATAATAATTGATTGTAAGGATTTTGTTTGGCAGAACCAGGCCGATACTGAGTGGAAGTTTGCCCGTAGCAAACTCTGGCTTGGCTACTTTGACGAGGGCTCGACTCTGCCACCACCACTAAACACCATCGTCAGCCCCAAGTCCATCTGGCGGTTTGGGAGAGGCCTAATTCGCCTTCTCACCTGCTCCACCACCTTCGCCTCGGTGACCGATGACAAATCGAAGTCACCGTTGTATCGTGACCATCCGCGCCACCGACGTCGATACAGCGGAACTGTGAAGCCGTTTCCGCCTAACCAAGCCAACTCAACCACCGGAAACAGGAGTCTGTGGTGCGACCACTCAGTGGAGCCGACTATACGTCTTCCTAGCTCGGTAAACAATGAAAATTCCAAGCCCTTAGCGAGTAATGCCACCGACACCCCAGCTGCGTTGAAGGAAGAGAACGTAAGAGACACTTTCATTAGGACGCTATCCAGATTATCTGAACGTAGGCATTTCATCCAGTCTGGCTTTTATGACAGGGGAGAGCTGATGGCCATATTTGATCTACGCCACACTTCTTCGAAGACTTCTTCATTTTTGTAACCTACCTCTAAATTTACCTGAAATCAATGAAATCTGAGGTAATTGAAATGCCACTAGTTGAAGAAATGAGAAATGTGTCATAATATCGACTGGTAAGAGAAATCAGCCATCATCAAAGCATGACTTCTTAAGTTCCATTAAGTTCAGGAAGACGCTTACTTTAGCACTTGCACCACATTTTCGAGAAAATATTGAACATCGAAATATCTAGACAAAATAATCGTTTTGTCGTAAGGTAGACGGCCATATGTAAATTACGCCCAGACTCAGATTGCAGTTGTAATAACATAAAACAAAAGACTAATAAAGTACAGTAGTTCCATTTCTACACTTTTTGGCCAGCGTTTTTTTTTTTGCGTTCGAAAATGCGCTAGTTCAGAAATTGTGAGTGCGAACAGGGCGGCTTTCGACGAATACATCTTGGGTGTCCGGGTTTTTGGATTTCCTTCATACAATGGGTATTTTTTCGCAGAAAGGCAATTAAATCCATCTTAGAGGGTCTAACGAGTTATCCCAATTATTACGACTCCAATAAGATGCAAAAGACTGACAGAAATAAGTGCAATTTTGCAACGTAAAAAGCAAATTTGTTTTGATAAAGCAGCTGATGCAAGGATTAGAACCGAGGAAGTAGACATTCAACATTTAATGAATTAAAAAAGACATAACTGGTACTACTGATTTAATCATTGTCAAGAATGAGAACTACTACTCCCACAGATTAGTCCTCTCTGTTTTCGCTTCTTTTTCGGCGCACATTAAAAGCGAAATGTGATTATTATTTTAACCTATAGGTGCAGCTCAACTCTTAGCCAAAAATAAAAAATCTTTGCATTTCACCCGTAAATTAGACCAGCTACAAAAGTTGCTGCGAGCGCATTAAATTCTCCTCAATTTGAAGCTTAATTCGACATATTACTGGACTCTCGCCGTGAGCCGCTTATAAGGACTCATTAGTTGCATTTACGAGATAAAAGTTTGCCACATTTTGCAATCACAGAAAAAGGAGTCTTTTTTACTGAAATCCTATTTGCTATAATCCAGCTGATTTGAAAATCACGCCATTATTATGTAGGAGCCTTTGTTCAGTGGCTATGCCTTCACCCCGTCCCCGAATTAAGAGGTTTAATAAGCAATGCATATTTGCATACATGGACTAATACTGGGTGGCTTCCCCTATTTTAGACTTCTAGCAAGAAGTCAGGAAAGAAGCATTCATATCAGGTTAGTTCCTTTTTAGCATAACCAACTTTAAATTCATAGTTAGAGGAGTGTAAATTGAGGGTAATATCTAAGTATAGAATGATATTGAAAGTAGACTATGGGAGATTTTATTCCACAAGTTCCCAGTGTTAAATGCCTGGCTTGTGTAACTAGAGTGTAAATCTGCACAGAATCAAACTTAAAACCGCTTTTTAAGAGCTTTTCGGCTAAGGCGTTTTATCAGATTGTCTGTCCAACTTTTTTTCACCCCCACCCCCTTGCTATTACATCCAGGCCATAACACGCATTTTGGTGCGACGGTACATCCACGTGTCAAAGAAGACGATGCGACAGGGTATAGTCAACGAAGACGACCTTCTAGAAATCAAACAGGACATTTCCAGTCTGAGGTTAGTTTCTACGATAGAATCCCTCTTCGCTGTATCAACAACTTATTTACATCACCACTTTGAAGGCACAACTTTAATCGGGTTTTGGAGCAAACTGATCAAGATAATAGTCGACGTGAAACGGTGCTTGCATTACAACATTTACCGATACATTACTTGCCAGTTTATTTAAAGTTTTATGAACAAAACCATGTACCCTTTCATTTTTAAACAAAGGCTATCGCGTGTACGTGGGAGGAAAATTGAGACATTGCCTTTGAGCTAAATATTAATTGTTGTGGCAAGAATGGAAGTGAGATTACTTCTATATGTACCAATGGTCATAAAAAGAAAAAAATGGTAGCCTTTTGGAACTACTATGCGTTACGTTACGCCCCAAGTCTTCTTCAAATCCGTAATAAACCAATGAGGTGTGGCAAAGCATGCATCATTAACCCATGAAAGGATTGTGAAGCTACTCGCATGTTGCGGAGTGGAAGTACAGCCTGCGGAGGCTGAAGCTCCCGCACGTTTCAGCACATATGTCGCGATGGTTCAGACCTGTTTTACATAGGTTGTGTGCTCAGAGACTACGACGTTGGTCCTTTTTTAGTCAAAACTACCGGTTTATCATTTTAAAGCTCTAAGCGTCTTGCCTAACGAGTGATGTAGGACACCTTTTTACGATGCACCACTACGGCATGTGTGTGTTTTGCTTTGCTCCAATGGACCGGGACAGGTATGAACTGCGCGAGGATAGACAACGCGAGGTAGTGCGCTCGATTGGTCATTTGGAGGGTCTGAAGTACCAGCTACTCTCGGTGCTGGTGCCCCATCACCAACAAGGGCAGGAGAATTGTTCCACGAAGGGGTCCAGCTCCTCCTCTAGCGCTGCTTCACGACCTCCGCAGCCGCCATCGCATTCCGTCGGATCTAACGAGACAGCCTCCATCCCCGGAATCAAGGCTCTCGGCGCACAGATACAAGCTCTAAGTGAGGAGGTCTGTGCGCAAATAATTATACGCTAAATTTCAATGCCTTTCATATCAAAGATTGATTCGGAAAATTAACATACAGAATGGAAAATAAGAAGACCCAATAAAAAAGGATTATTCAGCCCGGACGCACAAACGTTACTCCCTATAAGCTCAGATCCTTGTATTTGAGTAAATGACATGATAATTCAATACCGTCATTAAAAATGGTGGGCCTTTTAGAAGGATTCATTTTTTACACTAGAGCACGAGGTTTCCTATTCGTAATAGCCTAAAGGGTATAATCATTTTATTAGAGAAGTGGTAGATCTAGTGATGTGGTCGGTGTCAAGTACCTTCAAAGGTGAGTTATTTGCTAAAGCGGCAATGCGTCAACGGTTATTGCTAGAAAATCGTTCTGCAAAGACGTAGTCACGCCCGTGGAATGACGAATACGCCGCTTCAAAAGCTGGTCAGCAAGAAACCAGCCTGTAAACACGTAGAGAATATACTTCCTGAATGGGTAATCATGGTCATTTATTTTACTCCGATGCCCTAATTACCCTAGAAAACGCTCAGAAGCTGTAACGAGTAATGAAGTATGTTCATGCAAAAGTGTAGAGAAACTGAAGTCTAAGGTTTTTGTAAGTTGGTCCTCTTATGAATCTCGTGATGTCCTATGACTTAAGAGTATAACAATTCTGTTAACTATAGTTCTCAATATTCATGCAGAGTCTCAAACCCTCTCTAAAGACTTAGAATAATAGCCAATAGGAGCACCAGCGCAGTTGAATGCGGACTCAGACGAATGACATTTTGCTACACTTAACATCACATCATATTCACACATCAATGCGAATTTCCATCAAGCGAATCACTTGGTAGTGTTCAAATATCAGTTTTTCTCATAGACATCTCGACGAAAATTACTTACTTAAATTGATTTAAACCTTTAACGTTTTATTCAAAAATGTATTTATGCACAAAGATTTCAAAAAGTGCCTGATACAAAACAACAAAATCATGCTTTCAAGTTAAGCTTGTTTTTTTTTTTTAAATTTCCCAACTACGATGTTTCCGTTCACGGACTGAAATGCGAACAACAATCTTAGCTTGTCATTGTTTTGGTGCATAACAGTAGCACCCTGAGGTTTCTCTGGACACAAAGAAAGACATTATACTCGAGCAGAATATATAAATATATATATATGTATATATTCCACATACAGTAGGGTTTGGAGCTACTAGCATGGGCCGGAGACCACTTAACTCAGCAAGAAACAATGGTGGAGCACCTAACTGGCCCTTTAAGAATTGAAGGTTAAACTACCAAAGTACTACACAGTCTTTCCCCTCTTTTGAGTGTCGTCACCGGTTCTCTCATTGGTCAACCTCCAGCGTCAGCCACCGCAACGCGGTCAACGCTGCTAAGAAACACCCAAGGGCCAATCGTGTCATTCATCGAAATTTCATACATTTGAGGATATACTCGACCTCGACGTCATTAATCTCTTTGGGTGTTTCCACTAGATCGGAAATTTTGTCCTGCATGGCAACCAACCTAGTACATAACAGTTGTCATGTTCTACGTAATGGCAAGCCGGCTCTGCTGTTTAAGCATCGAGTTTACTTCCTTCACGCCTGCTCATTAAGACTAGTAAGTCTTCTCAAATTTGCCCCGAGTTGCATACGTGGTTTTTTAGGGTCCCCGTTTACTGGAGTTTTAGGGTAAGCACTGTCTTTGGCTCACCGTCTCCTTAGGGGCATGTCAGTAAAACAACTGTGCTTTAAGATCTTCCATATCCCAAGTGTGGCATTAATCACAAATGAGAGGGTGAGAAAGTGTGGTGCTCACTTTGTTGTTTTTACGAGAGCAAGATGACAATTTTATCTTTACGCATACAAAATTTTCACAGTTGGTGTAAACATTTATAATGTCATTTAAGACAGTTGTAACAGTTGAAAGAACAAAGGAGATTGGTATTTAGAACAGTATACGCCAGTCAAAACAAAAGACGGGGCAAAGGTATACCTTTCCAGTGTAAATGATTAGGCCCGACTCAAAGCCACACATATTTTATTAGTTAAATGTTTTATTTTTGGTTTCCATATTCATTTTCGACCCACGAAATAATGTTGTCCCTAAAGAAAAGGACTTCAAAATTTCCCGTCCTATTCCCAGTAATAGTAATGGCTGTCACCAAAACCAGAAGCATAAGTATTAAATATGGCAAAACTTTAAGTTGCGTGGCAGTTTCCAATAATATTTTTGTATGGAATTGAATTTCTTTCAAACAAAAGGCCAAATTTTACGCCGTAGTGAAGTCAACATGTTTCACAGCATCCGATAGGACGTAACAAGGATACAAACGACAAGGGACATTAACCAAGAAAAGACCAGGTGACGCTCGTCCTCTATAATAGATTTTGAGCTTTTTGGTGCCTTTCTGATGCGTTACCAATCATCTCCATGGCAATGTTTGCTTATGGACGCATTTACTTCCAAATAAGGCCGCTTTTTTTACGCGCAATACGACAAATCTTCTCATTGGGACTATTCAATTTCATGTCTTCGTAGAAAAATTTTTCTCTCAATTCCGTCAGCTTTGGATAAAAATCGTAAACATATGAAACAAGCCTCACTTCGCTACAAATTAAAATGCCTAATAAATTGTCTTGAATGTAAAACTATTCCTGAGTTTTGTAATCGCTAGATGCACTTGGGGCACTTGAGGGCGTAGACCTATCTGCGGTCATCGTTCCATATAAATGACTCAGTAATGAATTTCTACACCCTAATTTTTGGATAAAAACAGATCGGCCATGCTTAATTACCTCTCAGCATAAGTTTCGCCTACTTCTTGACAGATTCGGCGCATTTCCCCTGGGCCAAACACGCCACCACTTCTGAGCGGTTTACAGGCCACAACTGCAACTAGCGAAGGTCTAAAGGGCTTGAAGCATGAGATCATTGATGAAGTAAAAGGCGAGTTGCACAGCTTTGCACGCCAATTGATGCAGTTTATGAGCCAGTGCCAACAACCCAGTGGATCCAACTCAGGGTCCGAGACCCCGGCAGCGCCAAGTGTGAGCGCCAATGCCCCCCTTTCCACCTCTTCGCTTTCCCCACCCCGCGCACCTGCACCGGCCTCGAGCACCCCCAGCATCAACCGCGAGCGCATCGGCGGAGTATCGGTGACGTACAGAGGAGGCGCAGCCGCAGGACTCTCGCTGTCCGCACCAAGACGGGCGCAACCTAGGCACCAGCGCTGACGGGGCGCTGCGAGGAGGACCAACTGCCGTCTATGCAGCCAGAGCTGCTCATTTACTCGCTCGCACACTCACAAGTCACTCCTGTCTGCAAACCACAGCGTTAAAATGCAGTGCCTAGCGCACTCCCTTCGCCATAATATAAACAGATTATTTGCAAACAGAGATTATTTTCATCATAGCGCTGTCATTTTTCCTATGCTTTTCATTAAGCTAAAGAAATCTGAACCTCATCATATCGAACCATTTAACTAGGGTGCACCTATTTGTAGGCGTAAATATAGTATCTTTTAATCTATGACATTCTCAGATTCTCTTTAGATTGTTCAAAACGTCTTTTGGGTTATATTAAAACCTGAAATAAAATGAAAGCAAGTACAGAACAGAAGGGTCAAAATGCCTTACCGACGGGAAGTTGATAGGAATAGAGTTCCAGAGACCAAAACTCCTGCAGTTCAGCATTAGGCCTCGCTTACAATGCAAACTTGATGTTTTAAAAAAATACAACCTCTATCCCGTAGCAACATTCCACTTATTTTGAAAAAAGTTTATTGGTTGCTGAACTGAACTACAAGTAGATCTGGCAGTGGAATAACATGAAACTTCTATTTCTCACAGATTAAGGCCCTTATTTCCCCCAATTGCTCTTGCCAATGAATTCATGTAAGCCTTGAAATTATCCATGAAGTTGTCTAAACCTCCGCCGCAGGTGAAAACTGCAGACTTGGCCTCCAGTTAATGTTGATTGTTGTTTGAATAAACCAAATTCAAATTCCTACCAATCAGAGTGAGTAAACTACTGCTTTTAGTTTCACAGATTACGCAAAATCAAGTAGCCTTTCAATTTTTGAGAAGTAGCCCAGCCTCTCAACTCAATATTTTATGCTAACTTAAGACTCAACTAACACCATCGAATGCGTTAAAGGGACATTTAATCTAGTTTAAACACACTAGACATAGAATAATAAGAATAAATATAAACACTAGATTCTCAATTTCCCAAAAACTGTAAAGCCAAAGACTCACGAGTCTCAGCCTTGGCCATTGCCCATAAACCGGAAACCTGCCAGGTGGAATGGCCAGTTGGGTACCAAGCGTCCTTAAGTCGATTTAATTATGCTACCCACAAAAAACAGCCCACGTCAGACCATATTTTAATTTACCCACACAAACCAACCGTGGCGATGTAAACTACTCGGAGAGCAATTCTGTGAAAAAAACGTAAACCAAACCGGCGGGTTTATAAAAAAGCATAGTCCTGATTTCTAAGAGCTAAAACCTCTAGCCCCTTACTGGGGCAAGTATACTAGACGACACCAATGAAGGATTGATCCCGATATTGTAATCAACGTTTAAACATGACTACACGCCATTAGAAACAGTGAAAGTGGGTGAATGAGTGGATTAACCGGAGAGGCGAACGCATAGGTCGTTGAGAAGAATCTCCTGTGTGTCAGCAGTTTTGTCTTTCATGTCAAGTGCGATGCGCGACCGCAATTGTGATGAGTTCAACTCGGCTAAGTGGAGCAGAGCGGCGTCTTGAAGAGCTGGCAGCTCCTGCTTGCGACCCAGATAGTAGGCCAGAACTGCCGATCCACCCTCCATATACCTGTACAGAAACTTCTCGCATTGTCGAATTATATAGGGTATCTGATACTCCTTTCCCATGTCCATAAGACCCTCCACATTAAGAGGACCGATTTGGAAATCGGTATTTGGGTAAATGAAACGAAGGAAATTGTGAACGCACTCAAAATCAAAGGGAATTGCGATAATAGGTCCAATATCACCACAATTGAGACTAGCAGCGTGTCGGAAACGCTCGTAGAACCAGGGAGAATTCATAGCTAGGACTTGACGATGGGCAAAGAGTTTTCGATTGTTGGGATCCTGTGGTACGAGCTGTACGTCCGCAAAATGATCTGGCATAGTGAAATCCGGCAGACGAACTGTCCTCTTCGTTTTAATCGGATGACAACAAGCAGTAAATATGGGAAACTTAAACCAAATCTTAGTGATGTTAATGCGAACGTCAGCCTTTTTCACTGTTCCCAGAGTAACCCAACGCTCATTCATAACTTTGGGTGCTAGGGAAGTGGTTAACCACGAGCTTCCCTCAAATTTATGCTTCACCATCCAGTGCATACCAGCAAACTGAATGCAGACTTCACAGTCACCGCGCAAGTAGCTTGGGAAATCATAGGCGATTCGTGGTTGGTACTGATTGGGCCCAGTTTGGTAGAAAAATATCACCCACGAGAGACCCGGAATCTTGGGATGACTAACCATGATTTGGGCGGGTTGATCGTTCAGGTTCACCTCACGAGAGCACGTGAGCACCAAGTCGTGCTCGTTGAATGTGAAATCGCCGCACCTGGCACCGGTTTCATCGGTCAAAAAGTGCATAAGCTGACTTCCACCAGCATACTTCGAGTCCATGTCCGGAGGAGCGGAGGCGCGCAGCCCTAACGATGTTTTGCGTGTCTTCTCTTACAAGTGAGCGTCAACTCGCGATCGATAAATTCAAATGCTGGACGAACCACGTGTTTGCGCATCGCACTGACCTCTTCATGCCACCCAATAGCAGCCGAAGAGGGTAAATGGGGGGAGGAAGAGAAGGTTCTAAAGCCTTTTAACAATGCAGCATTGTTCACCAATGAAGCCCTACAAAAAGAGCACTTATCCGGATTTCTGGGTCGCCCTGACGGCACCACAAACAGTCCAGTTGTTTCCAAGGTCACCAGACAAAACAATATACCTATGGGTATTTTAACTTATTTCCGAATGTATTTTCAATTACTTACTCGATTAATGGATGGAAAATATCAAATCAAGTAAATCTACGCCTATAAGAAATGGAGTACAGAGTAACTTAAAACAAACTTAAGCACACACATTTCACGGAATACGACGTACAAGATGTCTTACTAAAGTGGGCTTTCAGGGCGAGTAAGAAACAACATCTAGCTAGTTTCAAAATTGGCCTTCACTGTTTCTTGTAAAGATTATGTAATTGCTAAATCTAATGCAGAGGCAAAAGTAGGCGTTACTTGCGCTTCGACCATGATACGCCCAAAACAAAGGACTGGACCAACTGCAGCAATTTATTAGTCCGAAGAAGCAAAACACAATATCCACAAATTCTAAACATTTGCAAGCAAATTCAAGACGTAAAAGGGCGTACAGTCATGAGATGAGCCTTTGGTACGTCAAACTTGACCACCAAGGACGACCTTCCAGAGCCAGGCTGCAGGGCCCCTGGAATGCAAACGCAATCGCTTCAAATCCTCATTCACCACCATGGATCTGATCGTCCGCGTGGCTTCCACAAGATCGTGCTGCCAAATGCTACTGACAGAAGTCGTCGTCTCGACGTCCACGAAGTTCTGCAGCCGGCTGTCAAGGGTGTCACCAGTCAACCACTTTACTAGAAGGGGCTCTGAACTGGCTATGTCCGAGAGTAAGCTCTCTACTTGTTCGTCTAACACATGCAACGGTACCTTTCCACCTCCTGGTATTCCTGCCACCGTGGGTAGACGCTGTCGTACCTCCTGTACAGTCAAACGCAGCCATCGCGAGATTAGGATGTACTTCAGAAGGACAAAAAATTCCCTGTAGTTCCAGCCCTCCCATGCCTTTAGGCACTCCTGAAATGAGCATGCAAAGGCCCCTGGTCAGTAGTATCACGACAACGAAGTATCACTTTCATTTTTTTAGCTAGGTAGTCACATTGAAGAACTAACTGCTCAAACACGGTTTAAGAACTACTTTGACAGCGTAAGTAGGATGATTTCCTATCCTAAACCCACCTGACAAGCATCATCCCAACCTGGGGTGGATTCCACATCGGAGCAAGACTTTTTCACCTCTCGCAATTGTGCCTGCAAGTGTCGCCATACAAGAGTGACGTTGCACGCGTTCAGCCAGTTGTTGTTGATCGAGATGCAGTCTGTCTAAAGGCGAAGAAATACACCGCTTATGTGGCTAGAGAATGAATCTACATACCAGATTTAAAACCTGGTGATACCAGCCGGAAGGGACAAAAAACATTTCGCCAGGCTGCTGATCAAAAACATAACATCGTGGTAGGTCGGAATCCTGGGTTTCTGGGTCAGCAAAGTCACATTGACTTATGTCCGACGGTAGCTGACCACCATGTGACACTATCAACTTGTTCTCCTCTCCTACAGCAAAAAAAGAATGCATCCACAACCTAGGTAATACGCGTGATACATTATGGAAGGACAGAAGTGACAGAAAAATCATTTCACAGACAACTTAATCCAGGTAGAAGCTACAGTCGGATCAGAAAGCGAGGACCAAAACCAAGGATAATTAAAGCACTTAGGTGGGTGGGGCAGAAGACCGGTTTAATGTTGATTCCCTACCGGGAGGAAAGACCCACCACCGTTTGCGACCCACAATGTTGGCAGACCAACTGTAGGAGCAGTAGACGTCGGTGTGCAGCGGCGTCCATGTTCCTCCCGGTCCGATATAGACGAAGCGAAAGTCATCGTCACAGTCAGTACGAAATTCGTAAAATTCGTTTAACCAATCGGAGGAGAAGTAAACGGGCTGAGAGTAGTAGTTGCGAAAGTCCTTCCCCCTACAAGAATATGTGTATTACCGATGGGGAAGCGTGTTCTACTTAAAGTAGTGCCAGTCCTTCAGGTAGAGCAACTGCTCAGTCCCGTCACAACCGGCAGTCTTCCAGTAGGCTAGGTACTCCTCGCTTGTCATAGTAAGAGTTGGATGTGCACCGAATTCGATATCGCGACAATTCGCAACACATAATTCGCTACCTGAACAACAATGAGAATGCAGGTTGCGGAAAGGCACCTGAAAAAGGCTTCAACACCCGGTCAATACTGATAGATCCATTTTCAGACCAGTTCAGCCTGGCGGGCCAAGTACATGTGTGGCTCTCGGTGAAAAGGCAAGGAAGATTGAGATGCAGAAACCTATTAAAAATGTGATCTGTTCTTCTACTCACTTAGCATAAAAATCACAGTATTTGTAGGTAATATCTAAGTAAGGAATAGATGCCGGAATGTTAGCTGACATGTAGAAGACGCACGAAGTTGGGAGCCTGAAAAAGCATGAGCATGTGCTTGAGGAGAAGAAATAGAGAGCATCTAGTATAGCAGCTCCTGATTTCGACTTATGATAAGGAGCAACTGCATACATATGACAGATCGGGACATTCATTAGATGATAATGAAACACAATCCTTGTGGAATTCAGTAAATGCAGGTACACTTATTGGCAAAACGAACATACGAATAGTGCAATATTCAAAGAGATAGAAAACAATCGTATTGTGGGATCAACGCAAGTGTATTTCCTGTGTTATGCAAGGACAAGGACTAAACGAACATAACTTACATGAATCAAGGTAAGAAAGCGTAGCATGCCGACGTAAATAAACGCGTTTGAGTCAAATCATAGGCAAAATTATGCTTTATAAGAACGGTTTTATGGGCTATAATAAAAGTTATTAAAGAATTAATAGAACTCAAACACAACAAGGAAAAATGTAAACCCAATACTGTGTCGGAATAGAAACAAAAAATCCAATAAATATCTTCAGCACAAAAGGCGACGTTGTGGACAATGTGATGATGTGACAAAGACTCCGGTGCTTGGCCGACCACCAGGAGCCGAAAGCCCCCTCAGAAGCAGACAGTGCGACAACTGCGCCAATAGGGCTAGGATTATGACCTCGCAGCACTAGTGCATATGGACACGAATTTCATCAATTTCATACACCCCATCACGACCTTCAAACTCACACAAGTAGGAATTATAAATAGGTGACCGATCAAGTAACGCCTCAATCGTCTGTACAACTCCCAGTTTTAATAACAGACTAATTAGAAGGGCAGAACGACGTGGACTCAGGGGCATGACACTAGGTACAGTCCATTTTGTACATCGATGATACACATCCTGCTTAGGCACTTTGTCTTCCCACACCTTTAAGATTGGTGTTAAATACAGTAGATTACCCGCTTA